GTCCCATCCACATCTCATGGGGACTGAGAATCGCTCAGAAAATGTTTTTCACTTTTTCAGCTTTCTTCTCTGTTCTTCTGAAACTTTATATACAATCGTTTGGAGACTTTGTTTAAATGCAGGTTTCTGATTCAGTAGGTCCCAGGTGGGACCTCAGGTTCTGCATTTTTAAAAGCTCCTAGCTGATGTCAAAGCTGCAAGTTCTTGGATCATATCCTTCTCCCAGGTGACATTTGGGTCCCCATACCCTACAGGCTAACAGGATTCAGAGAGAGGGAAATTGACTTATGGATAAGTAAAGATATTTTGAAAATAAACCCATTACATACGGCAACAGGCAACTTCCTGGGAGTGCTGTGGGTTTATCTTCCAAAAGTCAGCTACGACCCTTTATTCTTCCTGATACAAACGAACGTTAAAGCCTCCACCTCTGAGGCTCTCTTGCAGCGAGTATACTTACACCAGCAAGTTTCACATAATGAGATGCAGCCAGAAGCACCAGAGGAGAACTTCCCTTCCCAAATAAAAAGCCAAGACTCACCAGAAAGAAAACTTTTTTGCCTCTTCCTGTTGGAGCATGGCTTTGAGACTCGAAGGTATAGAGCCCGTCTGTGACTCTGAGGAAACAGGCATGAAGATAAGGGCCCGTAGCTAGGGTTGCCCGATAAAATATAGGGTGTCCAGTGAAATTTACATTTCAGATAAACAACAAATAATTTTTTTAGTCTAAGTGTTGCAGTTACCGCTCCTGTTACGGTCAGCCCCAGAAATGGGTGGACCCCCATCCCAGATTGGGTTCAGAGGTAGAGACCGCTGACACCACACACATACCAAGAAGGTATGAAAGGTTTATGACTCACACAATGAGGGTTGCTGGGGACATCTGCTGGGACATCCCCAGCAGATCCAAAACTAGCTTGAGAGAGCAGAATGGGGCAACTCCCTTGGAGTTTCAGGGTGATGGGGCTGGGGCTGAGCTGAAGGGCTTGGCAGTGCGCGGTTGGAACTTGCAGCTGGTACCAAGGGAGGGGGCAGTCAGCCTGTCTTATCAGCTCGCTCAGGTGTGGGGGGGGGGGAGGAAAGGGGAGGAAGGGGGCTTGAAAGCTGTCGGCAAACATCACAAATGAAGTCAGACTATTCCAGTAAGTATTTCCAAATATTTCATGTGACATATTTATACTAAATTTATTTGTCGTTTTTCTGAAATTCAAATTCAACGGCTTGCTTTGCATTTTTGTTGTTGTTAAATCTGGCAATCCTATCTAGGGAGCAGAAGGAAAAGCCTGGGTCCCTTCTAGGCTTGTGGAGCCATCGCTCCAACTCTGAACTGCCCACTTCCAGACTTCTTGTTATATGATACAAATGAACCCCTATTTCTTTAAGCCAATATTAGTCCAATGTTCAATTACCTGAAACCAACCCATTCCTAAATGATACATCTCTGCTGACTCTTGTTGGCAAGTATTGTACTATGTACTTCTACTTAGGTACAGATTATCTACCTTATTACAGAGATTGTTGAAATCTGCCTAAGACATTGAAAACAACCATAGAATATGTGTGTATTTCAGCACTTTTTAAAAAAACAACGCTGAAATTGGGACATGACTTATAATAGGTGGAATCTTAGATTTAGATCTAAATGGTTCTCAGACCTGGCTGCTTATTAAAACCACCTGGGGAGCTTTTAACAGATGCTGCTCCCTGTGTCCACCCTCAGGAGTTTTATTTAATTGGTCTGGGGTTGGGCCCAGGCATGGTAATTTTTAAAAGCTTCCTCAGTGTAAGTAATTATGCAGGCCAGGACCAAAAATCATTGCACTAGATAAAATACTTTATGTATGTATAGATATGTTTACTCTGAGTCAAACCTCCTTATGAAGTTTTTTAAAAGGCGGAACAATGAGAGAAACATGGCCCATCCATGCCTGATGACGAACAGCTATTTAACAGCCTGTCCCCTTGCTAACTCGACACCTACAGGCTTTAGCTAACCTGCCCACCCTTTCCCTGGGTCAGCTGCCAGGATGGCTATGCAATCAAGGCTAAGGAGAGTGAAGGAAACGCAGTGCCTTTTTACGAAGAGCCAAAAGCCCAGCGGTGGGGAGCTTGCAGCATCTCCCCTCTTGATGTCAATACTGTCTGGTCTCTGGAGGAGAATTTAAAGGCGCAGAGAAACGGGTGGGGTTCTCCTCTTTACCTCTCATCAGGGGAGCCACACAACATGCAGAAGTCCATGAAACCCGAGGAAAGAGCCAGAGGTTCATATATTTTAGGAAAGAGTTGGTTGGTTTTTGTGGCGTCTGCTAGTTGACTGGGGGGGAAATGAAAGTCAGCTGAGTTTACTTCGGACTTGGAAGTCAGCCTCCCTTCCTCCCTTGCTTGGGAACGAAATTGAACGTGTTTCTCTGTGGCTACAGATATGAGCGCTCATCCTTGATGTCTCTTGATGATTCCGGAGTTAGGGCCTTTCAGAGCCACTGGGCCCACAAATGTGTTTGGTGGCAGTGGGCTGACCTTTACTCTGCTGGCCTGGAAATTATTCCGATGCCGTGGAAGTAGATCAGGCTCCACCCCGGCTAGTCCGCACTGGGCTGCACAGCAAATAAGGAACACTTGAGCTTGTTTGACCAGTTCCTCCACGCTTATTTTTCCTTTGGCTGCGGGCTAATCTTCAATCAGCAGGTACCTCCCCGTAAGTGGACCTGCTCTGTGTAACTCCAACTGCCCTGAGTTCCTTAAGTCTGTCTGATTCTAAACCGGTTTGGTTCCCACAGTAAGACATCATGGTGCTGTTGATGGTGGTTCTTCTTTCTGCCCATGTAAACTTGATCTGACAGCTTCCCTTTGCTGCGTGTCTAGCTCAGTGCTTGCTGAGAAGATTGAATCGCTGCATTACAAAGTCTAAAAGCAGACTCCAAACTGGTAGAAAGATTTGTCCTCTTTTTCTGTGCATGCAAGACTACTCAGAAGGAATTAAGTTCAAGTAAGGTAACGGGTAAATAAAACCTAATTCTATGGATAGGAATTTTTCTGTTTCCTCAAGCCTTGCCCATTATAACCCAGCTTTCTAGTTCCATGAGTTAAGGAGAAGAGAGAGCTCTTTTATGCAAATGTATTTTATTTAAAACTTTCTTGGTAGTATGATGAGATGTTGATGGTGAAAACAAAGACCAAAGCTAATTGAGAGACAGGGAGACCTCCTGAGTCAGAGGACGATTTTGTGCATTCCTGGTCTATGAAACAATCTGTTTTATTGGCCTTCGATGTCCTTGAGTGTACTGTCTGGAGGTACAATGAACTCAAGGTGTAGCCCCACGTCATTACCCAGGATCCATTCTAGGACCCAGAGGCTTTCTCCATAGAGACTAGGGCCCTGGGTTGGCTTTCTATGGTCCATGAGTCCCTGGAGAAGGTATTCGAAAAACAATTCACTAGCCATCCAGCCAGACTGAGTGGATGCTCTTTCCTGGCAGTCAGGAGTTACTGGCTGGATCACAAAAGCAGAAAATGGGAGCAAATTCTGGGGACATGCACTCAGACATGGCTTCTTTATCTCTACTACCAGCCCTGTCCATTGCTGGGGCCTATACATGGCTGGTGGGAAGGGAGGTCCGCACGGTCTTATGAGTGTCCCAGGACAGAACACTGGTGTGACGACTTGGCTTCTGAGGGCGGGTGAGCTTGGCCTGAAGAGGTTCTACTCCCCTCAGCCCTGGGGGAAGTTCTACATATAAAAACTAAAATGCCTTCTAACGCAAAGGTTTTCTCCTATACCAAGGGCATTTATAGAGATTCATTTTTCCCTCCCGGAGAAAGGTTTTTCATGATTTGTGACGAAGGGGTAAAAGGGTGATTCAGGCAGCCAGCGCTCACAAAAGGCTTTTTGCTGTTTTTTGTAACCAATCAGAGCTTTCAGTTGGGAAAAATATGTCGCTTGGTGTTATAAAATTTAAGACTCTTGGTAACCTATGCTTACCTCTAAGAGGCTTCCTATAAACTGAAGCCAGGGTGCTGTAATGTTTGATGAACATTTGATGAACACTCTGCTGAGATGTGCGGTTTCTACACATAGCCAACTCCACCAAGCCTTCCTTAGAGATGCTTACATTCAGTGGATCGAGTAGTCCAGGGTGTTGGCAAGCTTGTATTTTGGTCCTAAGTAACTATGTGATTTAAGGAATTGTGTATTCTTTCTTTATTTATACAATGGTGGGAAGAGGGGCCATGGGATACCATAAGAAAGAGGCCTTTTATATCCTAGACAATTTATTTCCATCGAGACAACTGAGAGGGTTGGTCTCAAACATGAGCTCAAAACAAAATAGGGAAAATTGATAAAGTCTTAGTGATGTGGTCAATACATGAAGCAAAGTTTTTTTGTTGTTGTTGTTTAAGTAAACTCTACCCCAGCCTGAGGCTCAAACTCATGACACAGAGATCAAGAAACTGAGCCAGCCAGGTGCCCCCATGAAATGAATATTTCGTTCCAGAGGGGCTAGAAGGAAATTTGCTGAGGGTTTGTAAATGTAAATTTTAATGTAATGCAATGCTACCAAATATTTTTATAATGCTTTCTCCCTTTTCCTCTGCTTCTTCAATTTGCTGAGTTTGCAAATGTGAACTTAATATAATGCAATGCTACCAAGTATTTTTATAATGCTTTCTCCTTTCAAATTTCTGAACTGAGAGATTTCATTATACTGACTGCTTTGAAAACCTGTCTTGTTCAATGCAATTATTTAAAGATAAGACAGTTTCTCCTACCTTTGGTTTAGGTGCCAAATCAGTTATACGGAAATGGTTTTGTGGAGAGCCTTCTTCTAAAAAACAGATTTCAATTTCAAGGAAAATGATAGAGCAAAATTAACCTAAGTGCAGATTCTGTTTTTAACCTCAAAACTTAAAAAAAAAAAAAAATCTCCAATCTAAATGGGGATATTTTTGCCATTACATATACTTAACTTCAATAAACTAAAAATTGAACTCCAGCAAGCAAAACCAAACCACATTTTATTGCAAATGAAAAATATACAGAAACATTAATTTAAAATTCATAAACTTTCTAAAATGAACAGTACGTATAAACATTTGAAAAATAGAAAATTTCACGACTATAGAGTTTATTCCAAATATTTGGGAACATTTCATATATATTCATACAAATTACTTTTCCACAAAGTTTTGTTAGAATGTGAAGATTGCATTTAGTTCAGTTTTATGGGCTTTAAGAAAAAATATTTTTGTTGGACTCATTTTGGTGTTGAGATAGTTATAATGATGGAATTCATTTTCACTTGGATTATTTAAAACAAGCTAATGTGACACAACTTAAGATGAAGAATGTATGAAAATTGGCAACTAATTGTCCTTAACTATCTAGTAATAAGACAGTAAGAATCAAAATGTCGATTCAAAGAGAACTAAATTCTATCAAATGACTCATACATCAGGCCTGATGTGGGGTGCTTTCCATGTATTTCATTTAGTGCCCTTAAAACAAAGGTGTTAATTTCATGCTGCTAAATCTAAAGAGTTTTATGAATACTCTCTGCAATCTGAACTAAAAATAAAGTTTTTTTTTTTAAGGTTTTATTTATTCATTTGAGACACAGAGAGAGAGAGAGAGAGAGATAGAGAGCATGAGCAGGGAGAGAGGCAGAGAGAGAGGGAGAAGCAGGCTCCCCACTGAGCCAGGAGCCCGATGTGGAGCTCGATCCCAGGACCCTGGGATCACACCCCGAGCCGAAGGCAGACACTTAACCATCTGAGCCACCCAGGTGCACCTAAAAATAAAGTTCTTAACCATTGACCTACAATAAAATTATGTCAAAAAATAAGATGAAACTCTTATATTTACAGAATTTGGGAAAACTTTCAATCTGGCTGTGTGAAGACAGCTTTGTAATCCCTCATGACCCATGTGCAGACATCCACATAATAAATCTTAAGATAAGTAGGTGAGATAAAGATATATGTTAAAATATATACCTATATGAAACTACCAGTTAAGACTAACATAGTTAGTCTGAATACAGGGATCCAGCATTTTATTCCTTCTTAGACAGTATCTTCCTATTTGGGAAAAATTATTATTAGTTTTAGGTTTACAATAACATTTTGGTTTTTCAATGCATATACCCACCAGGGATTTTTTTTTTTTAGTAAGATTTTATTTATTTGCGAGAGAGAATGAGAGACAGAGAGCATGAGAGGGAGGAGGGTCAGAGGGAGAAGCAGACTCCCTGCTGAGCAGGGAGCCCGATGCGGGACTCGATCCCGGGACTCCAGGATCATGACCTGAGCCGAAGGCAGTCGCTTAATCAACTGAGCCACCCAGGCGCCCCCCACCAGGGATTTTTAGAGTTTTAAAAATATTTCATTGTTTCTCCAACATGTTTCAACTTGTTAAATCTTTCTCAGCCTTTCTCCTAGGCATGTATGTCAACACCAGTTCATTTTCCAATCCAGGACGCCCATGAGTTCTTGTGTTCCTTGAACCTTTAGCCTGGGCGCAATATACCAAGGGCAAAGCTTTGTAACAGGTGACATTTAAGAAATACCTGACACTGACTCTCACTAGAGTGGAGAACCACCACCGCCTCAGGCTGGATGCCCTTAATTTCCTCACTAAGAACGTGTCCTGGAGAAATCAGTAGAGTTTTTCGATAGGAAAGAAAACCTTTAAAAGAATTTCAACCATTTTTAACGCTACCTTTTCAGAAAATACTTCTCCTACAAACTTGTGTTCATAGCTTATACATCTGATATACAATTAAAGTGAAACAGCAATCAACAGAGTAAACACGTACTTGACCTGAGGTATCAACCCATGTATCTTCCATGGATTATCAATTTTCAAAAATAGGAACGCACTGAGATGCACTCAACACTGACCTGTGCTGAAGAGACGTTGACAGCCCTTTCCAACATCATGGTCACCTCAGGACTTCCCTGGGAACATCAGTCAGAGCTCCACAGAACTGGGAAATGCTAAAGTCAGTTGAATAGAATTCTTGGTAAGAGAATTTACTATTACTACCCAGGACAGACTTGAGCTTGATTACAAACAAACAAAACTAATAACATCTGATGTTGGAACAGAAAAAAATCGAATCAACTGGAAGGTTGTTTTGTTTTGTTTTGTCTTAATGTCATAACTTTTTGGTTAGGACTTTTGTTTTGACAGAAATAAGTTTAGTCTGGAAATAGGTAATTTCTTTCTCATGAAATCAGTGAGATCTGTCCATAAACACGAAAGCCCACCAAAAATGTTATTCCTGCTGTGCGCTTGGAGACAGGAAAATTGTATAGAGGTCATAATATGCAAAAGGTATTTTCCTGTAGTAGTCCCCGAGCTTTCAATATTTTGTTTTCTGGGAAGTTCACTCCCCTTCCTATTCCCCCAAAACACTTCTCAGTAAAATGTATGGAAAATATGGTCAGGATGAAATTCAACAGAAAAAGAAAAACCTACTACTTATTGTGGTAGGATATGTATATTTTTAAAAAAGGTTAGTGAATAACTATAATTTCCTTAATAATGGTGGAAGTACCAAATTTCAAGAGAACAATTATGGTAACTCATTCAGGATTTTGCAAAGATTTTTCTAATTATTTCCAAACAGTCTGGAAAACTTACCCTTTGGGGATTAGATATTTGAGAAAAATTGAGGTGTACCATATAATCCTAAAGTAATGTACCAGTTACTTTTGTTACAAAAGTCTGTCAACAGGAAAAATGACCTTTGGGATAACAGAGAAAGGGACAAAGTGAGTATAAGGAACTCTAAAGCTGAAATCACTTGGACTTCTCCAGAAACTCAAGTCTGTCTTACATTTTTCAGGTTTGAGTTAAAAGAAGGCTTGAATGTAATCATTTGTATTTGTGTGTGTGTGTGTGTGTGTGTGTGAAAAGAAAAAAACACTGTATTTCATTTAAGTATTTCTCTCCTTTCTCCATTCTCCCCTTTTGAATTGTTAATACATTTTTCTGATATGGCAATAAATTACAATCCATAAGCCCTTCATGGGCTGTGTGTCTTATGCATTCTAGCCCACCAAGGAGCAAATTTCCAAGGCAGGCCTATTTTTTCTTTAACACTCCACTCTTTAGCTATCTAGTTTAGAAAGAAGGAAGTTATAGAGGGTGGGGGGAAAGCACCAGTAATCTCACTTCTCAGGTTTAATAATTTGAAACTATGACTCATCAGAGAATGATGATTGCTTATCAGCACATAGTTAAGTTTATCTATGAATTACTAAGAATAGCAGCCAAAGAAATGAAGAGCCACTTGGCAGAGACAAATACATTGTGACCAGAAGATATTACTCGGAGACTCCTATAACTCTTTGACTTCTTTTGTGCTTAGAGAATATTTCAAGTTTGTAGAAATGACAAACAGTAGAAGTCTTCTGGAGGAGGATCCAAACCTTGATTTTCAAATTTGATGGCCCAAAAGGAAAGCCCTTTTTTTTCCCCCAAAAGTTCTTCAAAAAAAATCAGACCTTTCTTACCCTTTCCAAGTGTCTTATGTGATTTAAGTTCAGGGTTTCTAGAGACTTTGATCATCAGTCCTGCTAAACAAGGTAATGTCATCACTGAGTCCTGGGGTTGAACATTCTGTATTCTCTAGTAAGACATATTTGTTTTCACCACCATTCAGAGAGAGGACTTCTTTCTGAGTAGTGGATGTCAGGTCACTCCAGGTAATGTCAGTATGCTTAAATGCATGTAGAAGGAAGATGCCATTGATAACGGTGAAGAACCCACTCAGGGTCCCGATGATATCTCCAGCTTTCATGCCATACCATTCTTGGAATAAGATGGCGGAGCAAGTTACTACCATGGACGTGAAGAGCACATAATAAATGGGAGTCACAAGAGATGTATTAAAGGTGTCCAGTGCCTTGTTGAGATAGTTAATCTGTGTCGTCACTGAGAGCACGAGTACAGCCAGCAAAACGAAGACCAGGGGATGCTTGTAAACTGGTTTCCATTCCAATAGTTCCTTAATGGCAATTCCCAGGCCCTTGACAGAAGAAACTGAAAATGCTCCAATTAATGAACAGATTGAAATGTAGACCAATATATTGGTCTGTCCCTTCTTGGGAGCCACGATCAAAATCAGCACCAATGAGATCACAATTATGATCACAGCAAAGGAGATAAACCCTGTTTGGAAGAGAAAAGAATTCAACTTCAGAAAATGCTAATAGGACCATATCTCCTGTGAAATCTTGTTAGCCATGAGTTTAGGAGTGTAGGTGTTTCAGAAAGGGAAGTGAGATTAAATTAAAACAACAAAAACAAGACGGCATTTTGCTGCGTGGCTCTCGACATTTTACAATGGACCTTCACAAACATATCCTTTGAATCTCACAAATAACACTATGAGGTATGGCAGGTATCACCTGACTGACTTTTTATTTTTGGAGGGGGAAAGTGGCCAAAGTTGGGGTTGGAGTATATGCCTTTTGCCCCTCCTATCCCCATCTCTTTTCAGTGTGTAGAGATCAAGCATGGCCGGAACAGAACATTGTGTCACCTTTACAGAAGACTTGTAATCCAGTCAAACCTTAACTGTATCACACAACCCATAATGAGGCTTGGAGGGAGCCGTCTACGGTATTATTACAAATTCATTTGATGAGGAGAGAGAGTGGAACAGAATCTGAGTGTTTCATTTGGTTGAATCACAGACCTGGGTCTCTCAATTTCATTTCCATTTCATGCAAAGAGGTGACTTCCTCTTCTTGTGGGGCATGGATAACCATCATAGTTGACCCCAATATACTTAATATGCAGCCTATTTTCCCATGAATGTTCAAGTGCTCATTTAGAAAGTAGGAAGACAATATTGCACTGTTGGGAGAAGAAGAAAAAAATCACTCTCATTCAGTTAACGATGGATTCCATAGCAGCTCAGAAGTCACACTGTGATACCTGCCCCTCTATCCCAGTTGCCAATCAACTTATCTGAATATGCTACAGGACGCTGAAAAGCCCGATTCGTTTTAAGACTCAGAAATGGTCAATCAAATCGGCTTGCTTTTATATCAAGACTTTTAACAGACATTCTGTACCTTTGTCATCTTCCCAAGAGAGGTAGGTCCCACTCAATTAATTTTCAGTTTCCCCACCTCTTCCTGCAGAGCCAAACAAAATGGAAGACCTTTTACATCTTACTGGCATGATTCATTGAGAATGTGTGCGCTCGTGAAAGCTTCAAAGAAAGCTACTTGTCTAAAGAAGAATCCCTCTGTTCAGGGCTGATATTTAGCTAGTACCCACAAGTACAACCATATGGGTTATCAAAATATTGCAGTATTTCCTTACCAGCCGCTTCCGCCCTGATACTTTCACTTACTCAAGAGTCCCCACCATTTGGTTGCCATGGCCTCAGGAAGTTCTACTGGCACCACCATGGACACCAGACTCTGCCATTCTGCTGCTCCACCAAATAGGTCTGCTGCAGTTCCTGCACACCAGCCTCCTTCCCCTGATGCCCTGGCACTCCCACAAGGGTATGACCTATACTGGCACCTGAGACTGTGGTCCATTACCTGGCACCTTCTTAGAGTCATCCTCGTGCGGCCCCTTGGGAGGACTGCAGCCTCAGCCAAAACACTGCTACTACTAAGAGTTATGGTTCCATGCATAGACAGTGTTCTAGAGCTCTGTGTGTACTGACTCATTTACTTCTCACAACAGTCCTACAAAGCAGGTGAAAAGAAGTGGGTTGACCTAGTCATAGGCTTTCTACTAGAGGTGGATAACGAATGGAGATAAAAGGAATAGAAAAATACAATAAATAATATAGTTGCTTAGCTATAAGAGTTCATGCGCCCACTGAACACATTCATTTGGGATCATAATAATGACAACTCAGAAAAATGAAACCTGCGTTTTATGAACACAAAAATTATTCCTGTTGCCAGTACTAAAAGAAACTAAAAGGTCTCCAAATATAACTATCTGGCAAACAATGGAAGACTTTCAGTGAGAGTTGAAATTTAACCCAAACACTATGCTTTTAAAAGTCCTCTGATCACTATGGTCATTAACCACTATGACAACAGAAAGGACTGAATGGGCTGTGGCAATATGTTTAGGTGAGAGAGAGAGAGAGAGAAAAAAATCTGCGAGACTTCTTTGAATAAACACAAACATAACACACGATTACTTTATGTTAGCAGGAAACCAGGCCTATTCCCGTAGGTTTTCTAAATAACAACACAATTTATTCCCTACTTCTACTGCTCTTTCTTGTGTCTTCTCAAGTGAGTTGTATGATATTTTGTTTTAAGATATGCTTAGCAATGTATTTCTTGTGGTTTATATTCATCATGGTACTGGCATCTCTACAGAAGCCAAGCTCAACCTGGGTGGCTCAGTTGGTTAAGTGTCTGCCTTCGGCTCAGGTCATGATCCCAGGGTCCCGGGATCGAGTCCCGTGTCAGGCTCCCTGCTCGGCGGGGAGCCTGCTTCTCCCTCTGCCTGCCGCACCCCCCGCCCCCCGCTTGTGTGCGCTCTCTCGCTCTTGCTCCCACTCTGATAAATAAATAAATAAAATCTTAAAAAAAAAAAAAAGCCAAGTTCATTTCTCACGTACCTTATGAGAACACTCAGAGCACCCAGTGGGGTGACCAAGGTGGCAGGTGCAAAAGCATAAGCTGCAAAATTGGCCGCTTCTCCGGCTCCCACTGGAAAGCAAGCCGCAGTGGTCGTATGAGAGATGGACTGACTTGTCAGAAGAGAAAAAGCAGTAGCACATGCAAAGTGGTGGACTTCTATCCCAAAGATACTGACAGATCCAGCTAAAAGGAGCAATTTAACATTTTCTTATGGAGGGTGGGGGAGGATTGGTATTAAGGGATGCAGATAAACTGTAATTACCTGGTGATTTGAACTCAATTAATGCAAAAAGTGATGACAGATGAATACACATTTTAAGTGACTTCCAATAGAGATTTTAGGTATGTCACTTCAATAAAATTTAATTGGAGGTGGTTTTGGCCTAAGCAAAGAATTATTCTATGTGCTCAAGAATACCTACTGTTGGGGCGCCTGGGTGGCTCAGATGGTTAAGTGTCTGCCTTCGGCTCAGATCATGATCCCAGGGTCCTGGGATCAAGCCCCATATCGGGCTCCTGGCTCAGCGGGGAGCCTGCTTCTCCCTCTCCCTCTACCTCTCTCCCTGCTCATGTTGTCTCTCTATCTCTGTGTCTCAAATGAATAAATAAAAAATTAAAAAAAAAAGAATACCTACTGTTATGCACATTAACAACAACAAAAAAAACCATGTGGCAAATCAGAATGCTTTGCAGGGATCTACTGGCCTGGCAGGGGATAGCCAGGAATGCCTACCACGGCCCGGGGAGCCAGGCGTCTCTGAATTGTAGATGATCCAAAAGCACCTTAACAGTATCTTAGAAGCTCAAGGAGATCCCAAGGGATGTTTTAAAATCATAAGGATGTGCTCCTGCAATATTTCCCTTAACTGAGGAACTCCACTTCTGTGAGATGACTTTTAGAGTGAGGGAAACTCCCTCTAAGGACAGGACTCTTGTCTGGGGGCCAAATTACTCTTACGGGTTACAACTGAACATTTGCCCACAGAGTGTAGTATTTCATGAGGGCAACCTACGCCATTGTAGAGAAAGCTTCTGGAACAGATAAAAGACACCAGAATACTTTTTCTTTTTCCCTCTGGTTGCTATGCTCCCAGCCTTCCCTTCTCCCCCAGTCAAATATGCAGGAGTACTCAGGTTTAGGGAAATAGCATAACACAGATAGAAGCTTCCAGAACAGAACAGTTGGGGGACTGCTCTTCTAAGAAGAGCCATGGCAGTTTTCTTCAAATACGAAACTGTCTTGAATACTTGATAGTATTTATATTTTTATCTCTACAGACAGCTTCCCAGGAAAATATTAATTTCATGATTGAAGTGCTGTATGTTTGTCACTAGATAAAATCTCTAATGTTGTAGACTTCTGCTTTTCTCTCTTCAATAGTGGTATGAACTTTGTGCATGATGGAAATAAAACTGTAAATGTAGCCACATAACATTCTCCTTATATCTTCATCCTATTGTGTGAGTAGAGGGTGGGGAAACACAAGGAGAGAGAGAAGAGGAGAAAAAAATAATCCAAAATATCTATCTGGGGTCTTCTCAATTCAGTCCCTGTCAACTTTTATTCCAATGAAGTAAGAAAACAGAAAACACCTTAACAACTGAAAGGGCTATACAAGTTTAAATTTAATTTTTATTTATCATCTTTTGAGATTCTTATATTAAAGCCAAGTTACCCAATTCTTTTGCATAAGAGGACCACACAAGTCCTGAAGTGTGTCACTGAAGTGTATGGGAAGATAGATGGAAGTCTGAAGGCTTCTTGCTGCAGAGGGAGATGGTGGTGAGAAACGAGAAGCTCCCACCTTCGGAAGTTTTAGGTTTGGGATTTAAGAATATTCAGAGGAGTTAGGGGAGGAGATAGAAAGCTGCAGAAGTGCCCTTGAGAGATCTTCTCTGCACATCGTATGAGCATCTATAAAGTGTTTTTCCCCATCCAACAGTCTCAGGTAGTCCTCAGGGCAAGTCTGGGAGAGGGGGTGTGCCGACAAGCTGCATCTTCTCTCCATTTGTTCAGTGCTATGCAGCCAGAGGGGACTTTAAGCTACCCATGTTTTCATCCTGACCAGGAAAATGTATCCATTCCTTAGAAAACATGCAGCTAGAACAGTCACAGATTCGAATTAGGAGCAGGGAAATGTGGGAAGAAGGCATTTTCCTCACTTGTTCTGAGGAATAAAATATAACCGAAGGAGAGGTTTGTGATAAAAGATAATATTTCAAATATTAACTTTTCCCCCTTGCATTCCAAGACAGTATTGAGAACATGGAGGTACAGGGAGAGACAGGGAATAATTAATTCTAAAAATATAGGACTTATTTTATATATAAGACAATATATTATACCTGCACGAAAATTTCTAGACTTGAATGCCATCCTTACCAGAAAGATAAAGTAATCGATGTTGAACAATTCCGTGCAATTTACCATTTTACAAGCAAACATTATTCTTAGCAATAAGGACTTACTTGAGAGTAATCCTGCCCACCAGAGCCATTCCTTGAGGTAAGAATGTCCACCTTGTCCTGGGAACATAAGAAAAATTAAAATTAGGTTCTTAACTGGAGGAAGAAGGTTTGAAGAACTGACTACTAGGAGAGAAATGTGGTTGGTGGTTGGAAAAGGCAAGACTTAAGTGTTGAGCCCACTTTCAGGCCAACAGGCTTGAGCAATGGAATGTAGGAAAGGCCCACCAGGCGGCCCACCTCAAGATGGCCACCGGCCCTAACTGACCACTGGGCTACTTACAACGACGCAGTTAACCAAAAAAGGGAGAATTCCATACATCCCCATACCTCCTTATCTTCCCCCTTAGAAACAGCCCCCACCCACCACCTCATTGCACACAGTCTCTCCTCTGCTTTCCTACCCGCTGCTCCCTTGTGGTGGTTCAGTCAACTTCCATCTCCTTTGTTCTGCCTCAGGTGAATTCTTTCACTACCCACACCAGTGGCTTCCACTCTATTGTCGCCCCACATTTGGGGGCCCCCGTCCTATTGAGAGACACACCATTGAGACCTCACATTAAGGCCAAATCCAAGGCCATCCACTTATTTATTTGGTCATTTCTGAAGATCTTCACTTGATGTCTATAGAGAGTTTTTTCATTTGCAAGAAAATTTTGTGTAATCATTAGGTTTACTGTATTTATGCCCGCCAGAGGTGTGGACACAGAATATTATAAGCCGTAGATTCTGTTTCAGCTAGTTAAAATTAAAGACAGAAAACCATAAATTGTAAATTGTATCGGTGCCTAATGAGGACCTTAAAGGGAAGAAGATGGTTGACAGAAGAGCTTTTGAGATTTTGGATAATCAATCAGAGAATAACAAGCATTAGCCAGCTGGACTCTCCTTATTCTCTACCTTGGCATCAGGAAATTGAGTTTCTAGTCTATTGAAAAGGGTAAAAAGCTTTCCTAAGGTATTCCATGGGTTATCTTTTCTTTACTGTAATCTGTGACCTAAAGTCATTGTTACGTTTGCTATAGAAAATGGAATTTTCTCACCAATTTTAATATACTTAATCCTATGTATTTGACCTCTCTGATTTTGTTTTAATTAAACAGGGTGTATCAGCTGTGAAGATCATCTTGCAAAGTAGTTTATTTAGGATTTTCTTCTTACAAACTGTGCACATGATTAAATTGGAATATTGCAATATATTTTCATAATCTGTCTTTTAAAAACTTAATATATCATAAATACTTTCTCATGTCCTTAATTAATGGTTGAATATTGTTTCAAAATCTGGCATATCATTATTTACTTAACCTGTGTGCAGCTACGCACCGCCCCCCCCCCACAGGGTTTCTACTTTTGTTCTCATTATATAAAGCCCTTCAATAAATATCCTCATATGTAACTATAGGTGGCATCCTCATTCACTTCTTAAGATAAATTTCCAGACGTGGAATTATTAGGTTTTAAGTCATTGACATTTTTAAGCTTTACCAAATTGCTCTTAGGAAATTCTGTACCTGTTTATACTGCCTCCAGCAATGTTTGGAAGGGCTATTTATTTTCCAAAGTCCCTTACCAACATAGGGCCTTTTAAAGAAAAAACAGGGGCGCCTGGGTGGATCAGTCGTTAAGCGTCTGCCTTCTGCTCAGGTCCTGATCCAAGGGTCCTGGGATTGAGCCCCACATCGGGCTCCCTGCTCCGCAGGAAGCCTGCTTCTCCCTCTCCCACTCCCCCTGCTTGTGTTCCCTCTCTTGCTGTCTCTTTCTGTCAAATAAATAAATAAAATCTTTAAAAAAAAAAGAAAGAAGAAACACAACTTTGTTAAGATGGTAGGCAACAGGGGCACCTGGGTGGCTCGGCTGGTTAAGCATCAAGCGTCTGACTCTTGATTTCTGAAGGGGTCATGATCTCAGGGTCATGATCAGCTCTGTGCTGGGCGTGACACCTGTTTTAGATTCTCTCTCTCTCTTTCTAACCCTTTGTCCCTGCCCTCCCCCACCCCACCAAAAAAAAAAAAAAGAAAGAAAGAAAAATGATAGACAACAACCCAGGAGCTCCTTGTTATATGATGGTATCTCTTTTGGTACTAGTGAAATAACATTTACTTATATATGTTTATTGGACACTTGCATTTCTTATTTTGTGAGTTTCTTGTTTATGTATTTGCCTATTTTATCTTATGGTACTAATCTTTTTCTTATCAACTATGGTCATTCTTTATATATTGTGGATCTTTTTTTTTTTTTAAAGATTTTATTTATTTATTTGAGAGAGCGAGAATGAGAGAGAGTACATGAGAGGGGGGAGGGTCAGAGGGAGAAGCAGGCTCCTCGCTGAGCAGGGAGCCCGATGCGGGACTCGATCCCGGGACTCCAGGATCATGACCTGAGCCGAAGGCAGTTGCTTAACCAGCTGAGCCACCCAGGCGCCCTATATTGTGGATCTTAATATCCTTTGTCTGTCATTTATTTTGGAAACACTCCCCCCATCCCTGGCCCCGTATGTCATTTGCTTTTTCGTTTTAGTTAAGGTGTTTCCATGTAGGATTTTTTTTTTAATCAATCCAGATAGTCTCTTCCTTTATACAGAATAGATTCTTCCTTTATCTGCATGCTTAGAAAGACCTTCTTTTAGGTTTCTTGAGAAAAATCATTTCATTTTAAATTCCTGAATGGTATGAAGTAGAACTCTTACATTTTTTCCTCTAATTTTTGCCAATTGTCTTAACACTTCTGATTGAATAATCCAGCCTTTCTCCAGTGGCTTGAAATGCCACTTTATTTTATTTTATTATTCTTTTAAAGATTTTATTTGACAGAGAGAGAAAGAGAGAGAGAGAGAGCACAAGCAGGGGGAGAGGCAGAGGGAGAGGGAGAAGCAGGCTCCCCACCAAGCAGGGAGCCCGATGTGGGGCTCAGCCAGGACCCTGGGATTATGACCTGAACTGGAGGCACACGCTTAACCCACTGAGCCATCCAGGTGCCCCGAAATTCCACTTTTAAAAATTGCATATTAAATTGTTATATGTACTTGGGTCCCTTTATAAGTTTTCAATTATCTTTCATTATTTTATTTATCTTTTTTAGGGCCAGTACCAAACTGTTTTAATTACTATAGCATTATAGTACATTTTATTTCTGATAGTGCAAATGTCTCCAATAGTACTTTTATAAACTTGTTTGTGCAATTTGTAGTCATTTCTCACCTGAACCTTAGAATAATATTTAGTTATTTTATGACATTCTTGATAAGAATGAATAGAGTCACAGAGGAAAGAGTTCAGTTCCCAAGAAACAGTGATAGCTTGACACTGTAAAGCTTTATCTGGAGTATATATGCATTAAATTAGGACTGCTGACACAATGCATTGAGGATTTACAGCCATACCTGGAAGTTTCTTCTAATGTACACATATATATAGAATCATGGAAGCTTTTTGTATTACCTGTTTTATGGCCTTAAAGATTTCATGAACCAAATGAAAACTGAATCTGTTCACATCCCATCCTTTATATCTAGGTAAGATAAAATCTATTCTCATTTTCAAGGTAGAATTTTACATGTCTGTACTTTTTTTTTTTTTGAAGGTTCGATTTATTTATTTGACAGAGAGAGAGAAAATGCACAAGCAGGGGGAGAGACAGAGGGAGAGGGAGAAACAGGCTCCCTGATGAGCAGGGAGCCCCAATGAGGGGCTCCATCCCAGGACTCCGAGATCATGACCTGAGCTGAAGGCAGATGCTTAACGACTGAGCCACCCCGGCGCCCCCATGTCCATACTTTTTAAGCCACATTTTGAGAAATCATCTCTTAACTAATCTTGGATGTTGTCTGCCTCGATGAACAGGACTTTTGTTTGCACTGATGCTTAGATGTTCCAATATCTAATATGGCCACAGTAGTCTTGATAACCAAGGTCATTTTTTTCCATCTTTAGAACCTACACTGAAACAACCATATCCAACAGATGTCAAGCCACTGTGTATGTAAATGAAAATTCTGTTTTGTTTCACGCCTGAATGCTATACATCTATTTTGGATTGTATATTGTGTTTGTGTATTTATGCTTTGATTCATAGTAACTTCTCATATTATAGAATTGATTTGCATTGAACACAAACTGTAAATAAAAAGAAATGTCTGAAAGAGCAAAAAAAAAAAAAATACAGGAGGGTAGACCACATGTTATGTATTCTGATGACCAAAAAAAAAAAAAAAAAGAAAAGAAAAAAAAAAGGAAAAGGGACGTAAGGAAACTTTGGGAGGTAATATATATGTTTATTATCTTGATTATGGTGATGGTATCACAGGTATATTCATATGTCCAAGCTCATCAAATTGTATACATTAAATACGTGAAGTGTTTGTATATTCACTATACATCAATAAAATGGCAAAAAAAAAGAAAAAAAATGAATAGAAATTCATGGTTAATGAAGGGTAGTTAAGCTGAGTTACTCAGCATGTGAAGCATCACTATAAATAGCAACCTAATTCTACTGCTATCCGTTTATTGATTTAACAAATATTTATTGGGTCCCAAACACTACCCTGGGGAAGGTTCCTGCTCTCGTGCATCTGCTATCAATAAATAAGTAAATAAGCAATAAACGTACAATGACAGATTGTTTTAGGTACAATGAAAGAAATGCTTAGTGCCATGATAGAGAGTAACGCGGGGGGGGGGGGGGTGAGGGACACCTCCCCAGAAAGGAAGACCGTCAGAAGTGATGATACTTAAGCTGAAGCCTGAAGGATGAGTCAGCCAAAGGAAGGGCAGGGAGAAGAGCGTTCTAGGCGAAGGGAAAAGGCCTTGAGGTGGCAAAGAACTTGGTCTATTCCAGGAAGCAGAGAAAAGTAGGTGACAGGGAGGGAGGGTGGCAGAAGATCCAGCTGGAGAGGTTGCGAGGGTCATTTTATGCAGGAGGTCAGAGATTGCGGAAAAGTGTTTTTTTGTTTTGTTTTTTTTTAAAGATTTTATTTATTTATTTGACAGAGAGAGACACAGTGAGAGAGGGAACACAAGCAGGGGGAGCGGGAGAGAGAAGCAGGCCTCCCGTGTAGCACGGAGCCTGATGCGGGGCTCGATTCCAGGACCCTGGGATCATGACCTGAGCTGAAGGCAGAGGCCTAACGACTGAGCCACCGTGCAAAGAAAGCCACTGACGTGTTTTAAGCAGGGAAGCAGCGTCTGACCTTGAATACTGAAATTGCACACAAAAGCTCTGAAAGAAGGACTCAAACCACACTCTCAATCTCTGGGAACAAGAACTTAGTTTCACCCTAAAGGCGACACAGCTGGCTCAATCCTGGAAACTGCAGGGGAGCTTTGCTAAGAACAGAGATAGGGGCTAAGGTAGAGACAGTAAAACATTACTACTGTCTTACAACAGGGGGCGCCGGGGTGGCTCAGTCTTTAAGCGTCTGCCTTCAGCTCCGGTCATGATCCCAGGATCTTGGGATCGAGTCCCGCATGGAGCCCTGCATGGAGCCCTCCGCTCTGCGGGAAGCCTGCTTCTCCTTCTCCCACTCCCCCTGTTTGTGTTCCCTCTCTCGCTGTGTCTCTCTCAAATAAATAAAATCTTAAAAAAAAAAGTCTTACAACAGGATTATTTCTGCTGTTGCTGCAGAAACCTGAATTGGCTAGCTGCATCCGTTTCTTACCAGCTCTGGTAACGCCCTTCTTGGCCAGTTGCAAGAGGCCCTTCTTTTTCAATATGAAGCTGGAGCCAATAAAAATACTGGAACTGACTGCCAGCAACAGGCCCACATACAGACTGTATTTGTTTTCGACTTTTGCAGAAACGCTCCAGTTGCTTACGCTGGAATTCAGGTCCCTGTAGAGGACAGGAAAAGCCAGGGGCTGTGACACGTTTGTGATCTCACACCAGGCCTGGGAGGAGTTCGGGCAGAGCAGAGACAGTAGGTAGCCTGGAAAAAAAGGACAGAAGGAAATGTCAACAAACACAAAAGGGAGATACCTTAATATTTACTCCTTTTCTCCGAGGAAGAGAAACCCGAGTGGACAGTCCCGAGACCAGTATTTTAGTGCATGGAGGAGCGTTCCCAGCCGGCGGTCCACACGCCTGTGGACACGTTCAGTTTGGCTCCCATAGGTTCTCAAAAACGTTTTAAAAAGCGTTTCATTGTCATCATTTACAAATGAGAGGTGTCACCTGAAAGTCTGACTTCCTCTTATAAATTGGAGAATCCGGCAATACTTGCTCAGCTCTTGGTTCCAGCAAAACAGCAACCTCGAGAGTAGCAAGAGTAGCGGGCAGGTGTTCGCACTGGTGCGCGCTCAGCTGTTCCTCACGGCCCCCCAGACCCACCTCCCTCCTCCACCTGGTCAGTGTGGTTCCTGGAAAGCAGTGTTCCTGATGCCTGAGTGTAGGGACAGGCCCGGCAACCCATCAGTCGGCCTCTTATAGGAAATTTAGCTAACCCATTGGTGGGGTGATGGTGCATTTCCGAAAATGTGTTTAAAAGGGGGTTTAGTTTTCTGTACCACTTTCCCTGAAAAGAATCATTTTTCAGGTCTACTCATCTACCTTCTCCTAAATAAAATCTAGTAAAAAAAAAAAAAAGGAATTAAACATCAGTATGCTTTTCTTAGAATAGGACTCAAACAAACACGTAAATCTTCTGAACCAGATCCATTATTTTAAGTGTCTTAGAATTTTAAATCTAAACACAAAATGAACCCACTGCAGACAATATAAGGACCTTTTAAATCTGTTCTCCACTTGGAAAGGTAGCTGCCCAGCAAGGTGACATTGTGACAAGATTTTCTGACCCTCTTCTCAACTTTTGTTTTCCTTTTATTTTTTTAAAATTTTATTTTACTGAAATTCAATTAATTAACATATAGTGTATTATTAGTTTCAGAGGTAGTGTTCAGTGATTCAGAAGTTGAATATAACTCCCAGTGCTCATTACATCAAGTGCCCTCTCTAATGCCCATTACCCCGTTACCCCATCCCCCCCCGCCCACCTCCCCTCCAACAACCCTTAGTTTGTTCCCTATGATTAAGAGTCTTATGGTTTGTCTTCCTCTCTGATTTTGTCTTATTTTATTTTTCCCTCCCTTCCCCTATGATCCTGTTTTGTTTCTTAAATGCCACACGAGTGAAATCATGTAATTGTCTTTCTCTGACTTGTTTTGCTTAGCATAATACCCTCTAGTTCTACCCATGTTGTTGCAAATGGTAAGATTTCATTTTTTTAGATCGCTGAGTGATATTCCATTGTGTGTGTGTGTGTATATATATACACACACACCATATCTTCTTTGTCCATTCATCTGTTGATGGACATCTGGGCTCTTTCCATAGTTTGGCTATTGTGGATATTGCTGCTATAAACATTGGGGTGCAGGTGGCCCCTTCTGATCACTATGTTTGTATCCTTTGGGTAAATACCTAGAAGTGCAATTACTGGGTTGTAGGGTAGCTCTATTTTCAACTTTTTGAGGAACCTCCATACTGTTTTCCAGAGTGGCTGCACCAGCTTGCATTCCCACCAGCAGTGTAGGAGGGTTCCCCTTTCTTCGCATCCTCGCCAACCATCTGTCATTTCCTGACTTGTTAATTTTAGCCATTCTGACTGGTGTGAGGTGGTATCTCTTTGTGGTTTTGATTTGTATTTCCCTGATGCCGAGTGATGTGGAACATTTTTTCATGTGTCTGTTGGCCATATGTATGTCTTCTTTGGAGAAATGTCTGTTCATGTCTTCTGCCCATTTCTTGATTGGATTACTTGTTTTTTGGGTGTTGGGTTTGATAAGTTATTTATAGACCTTGGACACTAGCCCTTTATCTGATTAGACATTTGCAAATATCTTCTCCCATTCAGTAGGTTGTCTTTTGGTTTTATCAACTGTTTCTTTTACTGTGCAAAAGCTTTTTATCTTGATGAAGTCCCAATAGTTCATTTCCTTTTATTTTATTTTATTTTTTAAAAAGATTTATTTATTTATTTTACACAGAGAGAGAATGGGTGGGGCAGAGGGAGAGGGAGAGAGAGAATATCAAGCAGACTCTGTGTTAAGCGTGGAGCCCAATGCAGGGCTCAATCTCATGACCCTGAGATAATGACCTGAGCTGAAACCAACTTTCGGATACTCAACTGACTGTGCCCCCCAGGTGCCCCATTATTTCATTTTAATTCAAGTATAGTTAATATACAGTGTTACATTAGTTTCATTTTTTTCTTTAAAAAAGCAATTTTCCCATTCTGAATTATTCTAAACAAAAAAGGCAAAGAAAAATGAATCAACTACAATTTTAGAATTCAATGAAAAAATTAGTTTTACATCTCAAAAATCTTAAGAAGGCATATGAACAACAAAAGATAGTTTGACCAAATGATGTCTTAGGGACAAAACTTTGGTAACTGGATCTTTGCCTCCCTGGCATAACATTATGCAGTTATCTGAATTCACCACTTACAAAGTTAAGAAACATGATAAAGTTCAGCTCCCTAAAAAGGTAAAATAATTGCATTCAAGCTTTTCATGATTATTATTTCACTTACTTCTGTAAGTTGAAAATGAATCAACTTTGTTTCAAAGATACAGAATAAATTCTAATTCAAAGCTTCTAAATATTCCAAGGAGAATTATATGACTTTAGGGATTTTCTGTAACATTGAGGAATTTTCAGGCAGGTTGTTTTAAGAGTTGCTTATTTTCAAACAAGCCAGCCCTTAGCAATCTTGTTCTGGTCACTGTTCATCTCATTTAAAACCCCAAGAATGGAAAGTGATTTTTATAGTAAGAATTTCCATTACATTAATTCCTGAGAAAACATCTGACTTGACTTCCCAGTGAATTCCACAGCTGCTTTGGTGTTACTTACTATGTAATTAACATAACCATTCCAAAACTTCATCTCTGAAAACAGTGTAGGCAGGTCTCATTCCATTGAAACAATATTCTTTCTAAGCTGTTGACATAGCAAAATGTTTCCAACATTTTAGGGGGTGTGGGGGCAGAGGGTGATAAGGGAAAGCAAATAATCTTTGTTGCATTTTGTAAGTTCTTATTGTGAGCAGTAGCTATTAATGCTGCAAGTTTTATGGCAGGAAAAATAATAAAAATCTTGTCTAGCTTCTGACCTTAGAACTTAAATTGTTTTATGTTGGGTGCCTGTTGAGGAGAGAGCCTATAGCAGATGTGACTGAAGGAGGGAGTGGGGGAGTGAAGGGTGGGTTGGGGGGTGTGGAGTGGTGGGGCAGGAGACAGATGGGCAAAGTAGAACATGTGGGCAGGGAGTCTGGAGTGTTTCAGAGGAATCAGAGATATCTCAGTTGGCTTCTTAAGATTCTAGTAAGCAAAGTAATTATCCAGGGAGTTTAAGCTTTATTCAACATAGAGAAAATCTATTACATTCATTATGTTTTGTTTTAATAGACACTATAATAGCCCTCTAAAGTGATGGTCCCAATTTATACTCCTGCCAGCAGGGTGCATGCATTACTTCTTTGATATTATTCTTATTAATTTTTCTAAATACTGAGTAATTAATATTTAGAAAATATGTGTCAGTTATAAAGAAAAATTCAATACACACCAATGTGTCAACCACCTAATTTAAGAAATAAACATTACCTCTCAGAAGAGACGACTATCCTGACTTCCTGTGTAAGATCCCTTTTTTTTAAATGATTTCCCTTATATGACTATATCTTCAAATAGTACATTGTTTCATTTTGCTTCTGCCTCTTATAAAATGTAAATCATACAGTATGTATTCTTTGGGGACTTGCTTGTTTTTGAGATTTATCCGTGTTGATGCATGTGGCTGTAGGATTTGTTTTTGCCCACTGTTCTGTAGAATTCCACCATATGATTACCTCACAATTTAATTTTTCTATTTTACAGTTGGTGGACACTTGAGTCATGTACAATGTTTTTACTTTCACAAATAGTACAGCTAAAGTTCTTAATTATGTTGAAATGTATGTAATTAATTATATTTGACAATTTTTGACCCCATAAAAATAGCAGTTTTGTACTGTTGAACTTAATAAATACGTATCTTCCATGTACAAGTGTGAAAGTTCACTTACACACACACAAACTAAAAATTTCAAAGTAAAGTTAAACTTCCTATAGGATTATGTACCTCTCCTCACTTTGAGCTCTGTTACTATCTCTAATCATGGGCAAGTTGAATATTTACTCTTGATTTCAGTTTCCTCATCTCTAAAATAGAGTTGTTTTTGTTTTTTTTTTTTAAATAGCGGAGTTTGACTCAATGATTCTGAAGATGCTTTCTGTAATTTTGTGATTTGATCATACACAATCTTTGTTCCCAGAGTAATTTACTTACAATCCCAGTGGCTCATAAATGTTGCTGATAGACCTGCTTTAAACTCATGGGCACTTGTAATTGAAAAACATTTTAAAAGAAACTGATGCCAAGATATTAAGTGACTTGCCAAAGCCATATAATTGTCAGAATTACAGCCAAGTAGCAACCCAATTCCCAGGCCAGTATTTTTATTTCAGAAAAGTAAAAACATAAAGTACAGATAAAGCCAGCTAAAAGTTATTATTAATGTTTATACAAAGATGAAATGCTTTGAATAATTTTTTCAAGTACAAGAGAGTAATACTTTAAATTATTCGGTTAATTACATATAGTAGGAAAGCTGGTTCCTAAGAAGTCAATGATTACATAAAACTGCATTTTAAATCACTACAAGATATTTCCAGTTTCAGGAAATCATTATCTCACCGTCTATTTTACGTATTAGTTTGGCTTATTATTCAGCAAATAGCTACTCCCTTACCCCTCCTGATGTGGGCAGAATATTCTTCCCCCGATGTCAGGCTGGAAGTGAGCTGGTGGTCAATGGGAGAGCAGTGGAGGGGATATGAGGACAGGCTTCAAATGCACTGATGTACTTAAGTTTACTCTCTTGCACCTCTGTATTGGTCAGGAATAGAGATTCCGGAAGGAGCTGCTGCCCCTTCAGCCTGAGCCCCAGAATGAAAACACATGGAGCAGATCCAAGCTCATCCCACATGAAGGAGCCAAACCCAGGTGCCCATGTAGCCTGAGGCAGAGACACCCAGGTGAACCCAGGCTAGATCAGTCAACCGTCAGCTGACCTACAGACACACAGGCAAGAATATATGATTGTTGCTTTCAGCCATTGAGTTTTGGGCTGTGTATTACATAGCAATAGCTGATGGATATACCTGCCTATTCCTATTAGCATAGAAAAAAATATGAATGAATTTCTTTATGTCCCCTGAAATGTATTCTCCAAATATCAGCCAGTGTGAATTAGATCATGTCATTCCCCTACTTAATTTCCCTCCCCTCTCCCCATGACTTCTCATTTCAATTATAACAAAATCTAAACTCCTAATTCTGAACTCTTTAAAAGCTTTACATTCTCTGACGCTTGCTCACCTCTGACATCAAATTGCATCTCCCTCTCTCTCACTCATTCCCTGCAATAACACTAGCCGTCTTTTCACTCACTGATTCAATAACTATTGAGTCTCTACTGTCTGTTTGGCATTTTCTAGAAGCTGGGGATACCACAGTGAATAAAGAAGAATTCCTGCTCTCATGTTTATTTTAATGATTGGCAACAAAATAAACAAGTGAACTAATAACTACATAATATGTTGAGTGCCATGGAAAGCAGAAAAAGTAGCATAAAGGAATTTTTTTTTTTTTTTAATGAAGTGCACAAACCTCTCCGCTATGTGTAAACGTAAAAACCCTGAGGCGGGAATGTGCTTGAGGCTGACTGGCGTGGTAGAAGGGAGATGGCCTCAGATGAGGTCAAGATAGAGCAGAGGGGGCAAGATCAGGTGAAATGAGTCTTTAGATTAGTAGGTCCAATCTTGTCATTTCTCCCTCTAAAATTCCACAATGGCCTCCCTTCTCATTTACGAAAAATCTAAAATCCCTACCACAGTCTACAAGAGCCTACAGAATCCTGCCTCCAGTTATCTCTCTAACCACATTCCCTACAATTGCTTTGTTTTTTGGGTTTTTGTTTTGTTTTGTTTTTGGTCCTGTTCCCTTCATAGGCTAAATTCCTTCTCACCTCAAAGCTTTGTTACTTGTTACTTAGCCTTGACAGTTGCAGGTAGAGCTAACTCCTCATTGAGTCTCACTTTAAAATGTCACTTCCTGAGGCACCTGGGTGGCTCAGTTGGTTAAGCATCCAACTGTTGATTTCTGCTCAGGTCATGATCTCAGAGATCGAGCCCCCCATTGGGTTTTGTGCTGAGCGTGGAGTCTGCTTGAGTTTCTCTCTCTTCCTCTCCCTCTACCCCTCCCCCCTCTCATGCACACTCCCTCTCTCTCTCTAAAATAAATAAATAAATCTTTAAAATATCACTTCCTTAGAAAGGCCTTCTCTGCCCTCACACTCTTAAGGAACTTCTCAAGGGTGCCTGGGTGACTCAGTCCATTAAGCATCTGCCTTCAGCTCATGATCCTGGGATGGAGTCCCACATGGGGTACCCTGCTCAGTGGTGAGCCTGCTTCTCCCTCTGCCACTCCCCCTGCTCATGCTCTCTCGCCCTCTCTCTCTCTCTCAAGTAAATGAATAAATAAAATCTTCAAAAAAGGAACTTCTCAGTGGCTTTCCATCATATCAGCACATCATTGTTACTTAATGCTGCTGATGAAACAAACTTCTTCTCACAACTTCATTATGACTTTATGACAACATTGTACATCCATATATCTATTCAACAAAAAAGTTGTTAAAAACCTACCATGCAAGGCACTATGTTAGGTTTTCATTTATTCAACACTTTGCAAATTCTTATTGGGCAATTCCTGAGTACCAGGCCCTGTTCTAAGTACGGGAGAGACAGTGACCAGCAAGACAGGTGAACAGGTCTTTGTTCTCATGAAGCTGACAATTTTAGAGAATTATCAAACAGGAACAAAGGGAGCAGAATAGGAATGAGAAATAATTTTGAGAAAATTTGGCACAGAATAAGAATGAGGAATGATTGTGAGAAAGTATGGAAATCAAGTCATAGTAATATCTTTACATATAAATGCCATTAAGGCTGGGTAAGAAGACCATTATTTCAATTAACCAAAGTAAAATTGAGAAGACACTACTGATTTAAAAAAAATTAAGGGGTGCCTGAGTGGCTCAGTCAGTTAAGCATCAGCCTTTGGCTCAGGTCATGATCCCAGGGCCTGGGACTGAGTCCTGCATTGTCCTTCCTGCTCAGCAGGGAGTCTGCTTCTCCCTCTCCCTGTGCTCCTCCCCCCACTCATGCTCTCTCTCTCTTTCAAATAAATAAATAAATAAATAAATAAATAAATAAAATCTTTAAAAAAAAAGAAAAAAGAAAATTTTGGATTAGAAGTCTTTTGAAGCATCCATGGTTTTAAGAGTAAAAACCAAAGTATGGGGTTAACTTTTTCTTTACTGAAGTCCAATTGGAATGCTCTATCCTTAGATATCATGATGGACTCCTTGTCATCTAGATCTCAGCTCAAATAGAACTTTCTCTAAGGGACCTTCCCTGAGTATCCAATCTAAACATCCTCAACTCTCTCAGTACATTATTCATGACAGTTACCACTCTTGTAATGTCCTTTTTATTCATTTGTTGCATATTATCTGCCTTCTACACAGTAAGCTGCATGGGAGGCTTACTAGAGTCTAGGACTAGACTGTCTTGCAAATCCGCCCATAGCAGCACCCACGTCAGTGCCTGGCACATGGACTCTTGTTATTTGAATGAATGAATGAATGAATGAACACATGAAAAACTGAGCCTTTACTCCATGTCAGGCTCTGAGCCATGTGCTTCATATGTAATCTGACAACTGTAAACTGTACAAATTATTTCTGATTTATAGATGAAGACTCAAAGAGGTTAAGTTATAGTTGAGAAGACTGACGCTAAAGCCTGATCTCTTCCCACTGTTGGTAAGGATTCTGATTTCTCTCAAGTCTCTCCCACACAATTAATTATAATTAATCACAGGTATTAAGCACTGAGCTTGAATACATCTTGTTGGAACTAAATGCACGAGTAAAGCAGGAAAACATCTAAGTTCAAACAAGCGAGTGTAATTCACAAACCCTCCTTACAGATCCTCGGGTAAATAAGGGAGGATATACTATTAACAGTCTAACTTACTGGTTTAGGAATTATTTAGACAAAGGTCATGCAGTCTATCTAGGAAATAATTCCAGATCCAGCTGCTTTAGTATAAACCATTTCCAAAACTTCAGCTTTTGAGCAGTTTGTGAATTGTTCAGGCATTTTCTCTTTCTTTGCGTCCCTTCTCTCTCTTGCTGGCATAGTTTTGACTAGTTCACTGACACCCCCTCCAACTCCCCCCAGCCTCCCCCCCCCTTTTTAGTTTAAACTCTGCGTCAAAGAATAATCTGGAGGAGCCAAGAGGAGAGGAAACCTGGGAAGCTGTTGGCAACTTTGGAAAGGCGTTCTTGCCACGCCCCTCATTCCTCCCTCTTCACGTCCTTACCAGGTAAATTAGAGATCAGCCTTCGCCTTCACAAGGCGAAAATTGTCCCGTCAGTTGAGACACACCCTTCCTGTCAGCCCGCGCGTTCCCAGGTATTCGCGTCCCGACTTCTATCCTGGCTCACGCGCGCCTTCTGCGCTGTGACTTCAGAAAGGCTGCCAGTGTTGTAAACACCTGGCAAAGGGCAAGTGGCCTGGCCCAGCGATTTTTCAGGATTCGCTTGGGGGCCGAAACCCCAGCCTAGCGGGCAGTAACAAACCTACACTGACTGCGCCCAGTTCCCCGTGTCCTCTTCCGTTGGGCTCTCGCCTTACGTAGCCAAGAAGTGACTGCACAGCGAGTCAGACGCGAGGCTAGCAGGGTTGCACAAGTTTTCATCTCGAAGACAGAGGAGAGATGTGGCCCGCCCAGGCGGGCCCACCGCCCTCCCCCGCGGCCAAGGGCGCCTGACCTTCCACAGTGTCTGACCCTCGCTGAGCCCACGCAGGGCGCAACGCAGACTCCCGCCGGGCCCGGGGCACGCCCTCTGCCCACCGGGTGACTTAGACCGCGGACTCTGGAAGCTAGTCTGATTCAGAGGAAGCGTCTTTCTCAGACAAGACTTGGGAATCTTCCCCCCCAGCACCCTGATTTTCCCTGTGCCGACCCTCAGCACGCTGTAATTTACATGGGTCTGCCTCCTGGACCACAGTGGGAGCCACGTATGTCTATCTTGTTCGACTCAGGCTTTCCCAGAGCCTGGCGCATTGTCCGCACAGTAAGCAGCTACTGACTGGCCGAAAGACTGAATGAGTACACCCACAAATGAATGCGTTACGAGTCGGTGTATTCATTTCTCTTCTCCACAAGTACCCGGGACCGCCCACCCGGTCTCATCACCACCCAGGTGCCAGGTCCCACACTCACCTTCTTGGCAGGGCTCTCCAGGCGGTAGCCTCACCTGTCCCCCCATGGCCCCCAGGCGGGGCTCCTCGGACCAGGCCCTCGCTCCTTCTCCGCCCTGGCCTCTCCGGCTCCCCAAGGGGCCGCGATGGGGCGGAGCTGTAGGGTTCCGGACGAGGGAGCGCTGACTCCGCCCCTGGACAGCCTCCGCCGACGGGATGGATGGACCTCCGCGCGAGCCACGCCCCCGAGGTCTGAGGCTGGGAACTAGTGCTCTGGTTTGGGACCGCGGCTGCAGGTCCTGGTCCCTCGTGGGACTGGCGGGAGCGCCAGCTGCCTCTCGGGTCTGCGGCTGGAGCTGCGCGGTGGACACTTCTCGGTGTTCGTCGGAGCGTGGAGGCCGCCGAGCCAACTCTCCGGCAATTTAGTGGAGTAAAGGCTGTGTTGAGCACCCCTTCTGGCTTCTTCCGAGCTCCAAAAATGTCTTTCTGAGGGCCCCGCTGCAAATGTTGGCGGCTTTGTGAGGAAGTTGCTGGCCATTGGGATTCTGCTCTGATTACCATGCTAAAGTTGATTCTAACAGATTTTGCCCTTCTGGTGCTATCAGATTCTCCCCCGCGGTCCCTCGGCTTCAAACTCATGTCCCCGAAAAGCCTTTTTTCTCTAAGTCTTGCAGTTATTTGCAATAAATCCTAAAGCAGAAGCAATGCTCAAAATGAAACGACTTATTCCCACAAAATAGTAATAGCTAACATTTATGATACTCTTGCTTTGCCATGCGTATGTAGGCACTCATTATATCTCACAACCCAGTCTATTAATGGCCACTTTTTACAGATGAGGGATCAGAGGCAAAGAGTAAGGTTAAGTAACTTAACCAACTAGTTAGTGAAAGGCTTGGTAGTAGGTCATTATCCCGTATGAAATGGGTATAATTCCTGCTAAAACCTTTGCCGCAGAAATGGGATGCCTCTGTGCCCTGGGACTTCAACAATGAAGAAAAGTCTCTCCTCTGCTCACCTTGCCTTTGCTCTAGGTAGTATAAACAGTGCAATTAACTTTATTACCTAAGAGTATCATGGCAGTGGCCTCAATCTTGCTTTTCTTGTTCTTAGGCTGATAAAGAGTTAAGAACAATCAGTCAGTTCAACAATACAAGGCACATGCTTTCACGTGTGGACAACTTCATGGAGAAGGAATAGCATGGGAAAAATAGGTGAAAATTGGAAGGGAAGGAGATTTATCCCAAATTTGGATAATAAGCCTTAAAACTCAGATTTCTACTTAAAAGTTTTGTTTGAACATCAGACTTGAAAATTTTGCCTTTATTAAACATTGATGATGATTGTAAATGTAATCCAAAGTAGTATTTATTTATTAATTATTTAGCACCTATATAGCATTTATGTGAGCAAGCGCTATTCTAAGCACTTATAAATATTTGCTTTTTAAATCATTCATAATGGATTGGCAATAATATTATTAATCCCTGCTTTACAGATGAGGAAAGAGAGGCACATAGAAACTAAGTAACTTGTTTATGGACACATAGATGGCAAGTGGGGGAACTGGGATGCTAACTAATGAAGTCGGGCTTCAGAGTCTGTGCTCTTAACCTATTTGCTAATTGGATATTTTTTTGAAAAAACAAACCCGCTAAAAATGTACCACCCAGATAATTTCTTATAAAAATTGGATTCCAGTTTCTTATTAAGGACTGTTTTAGGTAGGAGGCACTTTGCTGTAATTCTTGTTTTTCAGTTCTGAAAATAAGGAGAAAAACACTCATAAAAAAATATTTAAACTTATTTAGGATCCTTGTTTTCTCAGTTTAAATGTTGCCTAAGCAGAACTTTATATTTTCCTTCATTGCCTATTTCTGGATGATTTTGGGTATTACCCTGTTATAGCACCATAGACTGTCTTGAGTGACATTAATTTTGGGGATTTTTATTCCCCCCAAAAGCATGGTGTTTATTTTTAAAAAATTTTTTATTGTTATGTTAATCCCCATACATTACATCATTAGTTTTTGATGTAGTGTTCCATGATTCATTGTTTGTGCATAACACCCAGGGCTCCAAAGCATGGTGTTTATGTAACCAAAAGAAGAGCATCAAAAAATCTCCAACTGGCCCACTGGTGGACTGTGCTAAGTCTACAGTTGAGACTTTGTGATCCCTTATTTTTTTCTCAATTAGTCTATCTAGGAGGTTTCAATTCATATTTTATTTTCTTTAAAGATTTTATTTTTAAGTAATCTATGTATCCAATGTGAGGCTCGAATTTATAACCCTGAGATCAAGAGTCTCATGCTCCACGTACTGAGCCAGCCGGGTACCCCTAGGAGGTTTTTAACTTTATTAATTATTCCAAGAACCAACTCTTACCCTTATTTATTTTCTTTACTAATTTTTAAAATTTCATTAGTTTCTGCTATTATTATTATTATGTATTCCTACTGTATTTAATATGTATATTTATTATTTTATTTTTAATTCTTTCCTTCTACACTGACTTTAATTTACTGTTTTTCTAATTTCTAAGGTGGAAACATAGATCATTGATTTTAAACCTTTATTCCTTCTAACCCAAGCATTTAAAACTAATTTGCCTTCAAATACTGTTTTAGCTGCATACAACAAATTTTGATGTGTTGTTTTTTTATCATTTAGTTAAAAATATTTTAAAACTTTCCTAGTGATTTCTTCTTTGACCATGGACTATTTAGGAGTATGTTGCTTGATTTCCACATATTTGGAGATATTCCAGATATCCTTCTATTACTGATTTCTGACTTAATTCTGTTTTGAACACAGAATATATTCTTTATCCTTACAGTCCTCTGAAATTTATTGAGATTTGGCTTCTGGCCCAGCATATTGCCTATCTTGATGAATGTTCCAAGTAAAATTTAAAAGAATATAAATTCTGCAGTTGTTGGGTATAGTATAAATGTCAATTAGGTTAAATTCGTTGCTCAAAATCTAGTTTATTACTGAATTTTGCATTTGTTCTATCAATTACTGAGAATAAAGTGTTAAAATCACATGCAATTGTGAGTTTTCTATAAATTTAGTGATGCCAGTTTTTGTTTCATGAATTTTTGAAGATTTGTCATTAGGTGCACATACAAGTAGGATTGTTATGTCTTCTTAATGAATTGACACTTCAATCATTGTTAAATGTTCTTATTTATTTCTAGTAATATTTTTTTATTTGAATTTACTTTGATACTAATATAGCTAAGCCAACTGTTTTAGTACTAGAGTTTACATGTTCTACATTTTTCTATCCCTTTACCTCTATATTTAAAACATTTCTTGTAAATGGGGCTCCTGGGTGGCTCCATTGGTTGAGCAGTGGACTGGGTTTCGGCTCAGGTCATGATCTTGTCGTGGGGAGATTGAGCCCCAAGTTGGGCTCTGCATTCAGCACAGAGTCTGCTTCAGATTCTCTCTGCCTCTCCCTCCAGCTCACACACTTTCTCTAATAAATAAATAAAATCTTTTTTATTTTTTATTTTTTTAATACAATCTTTTTTAAAAAGCCATTTCTTGTAAATGACATAAAGATGCATCTTATTTTATTTTATTCCACCAAAGACTGGAGAAGACCCCTTTGCAGATTTCTGGAGCTCTTTCTCTGCACAGCTTCCTCCTCACTGCAACCCTGTTCTGCAATTCAAGCCACTTTGGTATCCAAGATCGTATTTCAGATTCCTCAACTAAGCCAGACCATTGGGCTCTGCCTTATTTCCTTGTTCTTACGTCACAGTTCAGAAATTGCTTTTGGGCAGGGTTCAACTCTTTTTCTCCCCTTCTCTCAAGTATCACACTCCTGTGCTGTTGTCTAGTATTTTGAAGACAGTTGTTTCATATCTTTTGTCCAGTTTGGAATCAAGCTACATTGTCATGAGCCAAAGCTAAGTCCATAGTACAGGTGATTTATAGGAGCCAAATGCAATGTTGGAACATGATATGTAAAATTTATGATTTATTTCTGAATTTAAGTATCATTTTATGAGTTGTATTGATAAACAGTACAAAGATTGCCCACATAGAAATTAACAAAATGATGTAAACTCGGTGATGACTCAAGAAGAATGATCTAATTTGAGTGCATTACTTACCTCGACTCTTAGCTTGTCAGGGATGGTAACTGGGACTAATGTCTGTTCCTGTCACTTGCACTTGCTATCCCGTAGCTACCATGCATGAGTGTATCTCCATCCATGTTGGCCAGGCTGGTTTCCAGATTGGCAATGCCTGTTGGGAACTCTATTGCCTGGAACACTTCCAGCCTAATGGCCAGATGCTAAGTGATAAGACCACTGGAGGTGGAGATGACTCCTTCAACACCTTGTTCAGTGAGATGGGTCCTGGCAAGCACACCTTCAACACCTTCAGTGTTTGTAGACCTGGAACCCACAGTCATTGATGAAGTTCACACTGGCACCAACTGCCACCTCTTCCACCCTAAGCAGCTCATCCCAGGCAAGGAAGATGCTGCCGATAACTATGTCTGAGAGCACTACACCACTGGCAAGGAGATCATTCACCTTATCTTGGACCAAATTCAGAAATTGGCTGACCAGGGCATAGGTCTTCAAGGCTTCTTGGTTTTGTACAGTTTTGGAGGGGGAACTGGTTCCGGGTTCACCTCCCTGCTGATAGAATGTCTCTCTGTTAATTATGGCAAGAAGTCCAAGCTGGAGCTCTCCATTTACCCAGCCCCCCCCCAAGATTTGCACAGCTGTAGTTGAGCCCTACAACTCCATCATTACTACCCATACCACCCTGCAACACTCTGCTTGTGCCTTCATGGTAGACAATGAGGCCATCTATGACATCTGTCATAGAAACCTCGATACTGAACACCCAACCTACACTAATCTAAATAGGTTGATAGGTCAGATTGTGTCCTCCATCACTGCTTACCTCAGATTTGATGGAGCCCTGCATGTTGATCTGACAGAATTCCAGACCAACCTGGTGCCCTATCCCCGCATCCACTTCCCTCTGGCCACATATGCTCCTGCCATCTCTGCTGAGAAAGCCTACCATGAACAGCTTTCTGTAGCAGAGATCACCGATGCAGGCTTTGAGTCAGCCAACCAGATGGTGAAATGTGACCCTCAGCATGGTAAATACATGGCCTGCTGCCTGTTGTACCGTGGCGACGTGGTTCCCAAAGATATCAATGCTGCCATTGCCACCATCAAGACCAAGTGTACCATCCAGTTTGTGGACTGGTGCCCCTCTAGCTTCAAAGTGGGCATTAACTACCAGCCTCCCACTGTGGTGCCTGGTGGAGACCTGGCCAAAGTACAGCGAGCTGTGTGCATGCTGAGCAACACCACAGCCATCGCTGAGGCCTGGGCTCGCC